TTAGACCACAGGCAGTGGTATTTCACAGAGCTGAGATTACTGAGACATTCCTGGCATTTAAGCAGTTCTTTAATTAAGCACAAGGGGGCTGGACTGGAAATGTGGTACTTATAGCACCGATGCCACACAGAAGAAAAACAGATAAACCTTCACTGGTGGCCAGACTTGGCAGAGAATATGATTTAACAGACAACTTTATATTGGCCAGATCCTCCACACATTCTGCATGAACTGGTCAACCAGTACAAATTTTAAGCCATCTGTCCAAATGTATACCTTGATGTGCTGGGCACTGAGAATAAAACAATAAAACCAGTTAGCAATGGGCAGGGAGCTGGCACTGCTGCCTGGCCTCAGTCAGCACGTGTGTAGGAGAGGTCTTCAAGCAAACTTAGTTCTCTTAATGCAACACTACAGGAACAAATGAAGCTTAAACCATGTTCAAAGGCAACCTAACCTGGAGCTAGTCAAATTTATCTGCTTAATCTTGATACTCACATTCAGATAAGCATATCTGTATTTAATTTGACTCAGATATTAATTACAAGTAGCTTAATACCTTGCTTCAATAGAAAACTTAACAACTTCAGTTGAAGACAACTGCTGCATCCTAGGAAACTTGCATGAAATATTCTGGATTTACACACACCAATATATTCCTTTCCTGAACCTTCTCATCTTACACTGCTCCTTCTTTCTGTAATCTCATGTGCCTTTTCCTGTCCCAATGGCTAATAAAGGCATGAGTCGATCCCTTTAAGACAGAGAAGTGCACACTATGCAGTCTGTACTACCAGACTGCACTAATTTGCCAGCTGCTTTTTTGGAATTGAGCTGTTCTTAGGCTTTATGCCAAAAAATCCCTGCCCACAGCAGCTCCAGCTGCTCCAAGTTGCTCCAACAGTCCAACCTAATCCATTGCTGCCATTTTTTCCTAGCTGCCTCCTTCATATTCTTGCATACCTCCTTCTCCCCACCCCTACAAAAACACTTCAGTTACCCTACAAAGAGGTATTTGGGATAGGACCAGCGGCTGCTTTTGCTGCTGTTCTCATGCCTCTGTGAAAGCAACATCTCCTGTGCAACAACGCAGGTGGAAGCTGCCTTCAGAGGAATTGAGGGGGCCTCCTACAGATGATAGGGAGATGTAAGAAGAAATATTCACTGTTCCTTTGCTGGGCAATGCTCTGTCAGGTCTTCTCAGAAGAGTTTTGATCCCCACAGACACGAAGAAGCAGCACGAGTGACAAGTCACGACTCCTCAGGAAACAGTCTTTTAGGTTACAATGAAGAGTTCACCTCAGAAAAGGAATCAGAAAAGATCGTGACAACAGTGGCTATTAAAATGATTTAAAAAGAAAAGAAAAAGAAGAAAAAAAGTTTATATTCTTATCATTTTCACTGAGACTGGATTAGAAAGACAGAACATGAACAGCCATCTTCAGCGCTCAGCCATTCCCTGGGCTCTAACTGTAGTTCTGCAGTGGGGTGCTGGTAACGATGGGGGGTTGTAAACATCACCAAGATCTTAGCTGTGCATTTCACTGAGTCAGTGAAAGACATTTTGGAAAAGGAAATATACTCAGGGTTCGTCCATGCAGCACCAAGGAAAAGAGGTAAAAAATCAAAGATACAAACCTTTCCTCTCTTCCCCTACTGCTCCAGTACTGTTCCTACAACAGGAACTTAATAAAACCCCGAACTCTAAAGCCCACCGCTGGTGAGGAGAGTTCAGGCATGCAGCCCCATTGCCTGTGTCTGGGAAGAGGTCGAGCACGTCAGACCTGAAGGCCAAGACCTGGTCAGAGAGAATAGATGAAATACAGACAAGGAGCTCGGGCTGAAACAGCTTTCTGCCAGCCTGGCCCCTACTGCCCACAAAATGTGCTGCTTCACCTCCTGCTCGCCTGGGCAGCTGCTTCCTCCTCCCACACCACCATACAGTCAGACACGCTGACAGAACTGCACGCCATGAGGCACTTGCCCAGTTCCCCTGATTGGTTTTACAGATTAAAGCATTTGGAGACAGGAAATAAAGAGTAACTCCCAACTTTTTGCCAGCAGATCTGAAGCATGGCAAACCTCTGGCATGCCGTGCTGTGCCAGCAGTGCCAAGTGAACCAGCAGCAGCTGAGGCCATGCAGGTGACCTTCAGTGCCACCAGGTTCTTGGCTCTGGCTGCTTCAGTCACGCTTGAACTCTGCTGTTTGATTCAAGTATTTGCACTAATTAAGAAGTTTCCCTAAGCATGAAAAGCATGCATAGGCTGGAGATAGCTGATAGCTAGGAATTCTGTCTCTATGGAGAGAGACAAAACCACAAGGAATTTGCCTTTACAAAACCTGATTATTGAGAGCCATTACTAAATAACCACACAAACACTAGCTAAAATAAATGAATTCTTTCCCCATCCTAATATGGCAGAAGTTCAGGCTATTTTTTACATATTTAAAAACCTCCTCCTGAAGCTATAGGTTCATCAGTCTTCTCCCTGAGAGAGACTTCTGTCTTTTGAAGGGAGAATGTTGCTACCTGGTGTCTCAAATGGAACTGGATGGGTTTTAAGGCACCTTCCAACACAAGCCGTTCTGTGATGCTACAAATAACTGTTCATTTGGATACAACAGGATGCTAACATTCCACTTCTGCATCAAATACTCTTTGTCCCTTCGTGAAGCCTTGAGCTGCACTAATTTGAGTCCTACGGTAGAAGCCACACAGGGAAAAGACCAGTCACATCTGAGATTTGTAGAAGTTGCCTGCTTACTCAGTGTAATCTGGAGAAAGGAAACAAGCTGTCTTAGGCACAGTCTCCTCACTAGAAATGATTATCATGCATTCATTCAGTGCGAGTATATATAAAAACTCTTATTGAATACATATAGAAGGTTTTAAGTACTCTTTAAATTTTCAGGTTTTCTCCAGGATAATCAGACTTACACTGCTCCAGCTTGGTGTTGGCTTTACATCAGAAGTAGTTTATTTTAATATCTATAACCAGGCCCAGAATCTTTTTCTTCCTTAATCCCTATTTAACTGCATCTATAATATGTAAGTTTTGACATCTTACAGCCACTTCACTTGACAGCTGTCAAATCCAATGACTTAGGAGAAGCACATCCCAACATCACAGGGTTGGATATGGTACAGTGATGCAGATTCTGTGTATGAAATCAGGTCTCAGATTACCTTGGAGATCCCATGTGTAGCACCTAAGGGAAAATAACCCCCTCTGCAGCTGCAGTAACTCCTTTCTGTGGAAATCTGCCTTTGTACTGAGAATCAGCAATCTGTGTCCTCTACTGAAAGGACTGCAACACTCTTGGGAAAGTGAAAGGAAGAAGATGAAATCATCTTTGGAGTAGTTTGAACATGAATGTTTTTCCCAACAACCACTAATGAATGTTTACTTGCTCAATACAGAACTCAAGTTTACCAGACTTATTAGCTGCTTTGCTTGTTTTCAAGCACACAGAACAGACCTTTACAGGTTTCCATTGTTTCCAATAGGTACCTGGGCTGCAAAAATACCTTTACCTGGCGCTGAACATCAATCTTTATCATCAGCCTTTACTGACACAAGAATGTAAATGTATTTTTTAAATGTAACTTCTGTAAACATTTGCAACTGAATTTTACCATTTATCTGGAGGGGTCTCCAAAAGCATGTATGTCATGCCTTGCCCTCATCCCACTAAACGAGGAACAGGGAGACTTGCAGGCTTGCTTCTCTTTATCTTTAAGCATCCAAGTAGTTCTGAAAAGCTGCCCTGCTCCTCCTCTGGCAAGTTTGTAGCTTTTTTCAAGCCTAGAAACAAGGATCCTACTGAGTTACTGAATCCATGGCAAGCAAGGGTGTTACATTAGAGCTGGTAGATTCCCCCAAACTAAATACAGCAACATCTGTACTCTGGAATTTTGCTGGTGACCCACCCTCCCAACTCGGCATCTGCACCATCCCCCTGCAGGCACTGAATTTTTTCTACACAGAAAACAGACAAAGAAATTGCTGCTTTAATTTATAGCTTCTAAGCTGAATATTCTACTTCCATTGTTTTATTTTCCTATGAAAGCATTTTTAATTCTGCTGCCTTAGTACTTAAACAGGTCTGTTCTCGTTCTTCTGTCACTTGCATGCATACATATTTATGTTTCTCCCTCAAACCAAGCTGCAGATACAGCTCCCACTATAGCAAAAGCAGAACTACACAGTGAGGCCACACATCCCAGCAGATACACACTCTGCTGGTGGAACGCACACAGTTCAGCAAGCTTTTTTGAGGTTTTGTTAGAAATTATGCCACTCTCGAGTTACACACCATGATGATTAGCTGGTGTAATAAACCTGATTGCTACCAGTGACACAAATGTTAAGTAGAACAGCTGTAAGATTCCCACCTAGGGAAGTGAGAGTTAAATAGTATAGAACCATATTTAATATTCCTGCGAGTCAGTATCAACTAACTGCTCCAGGAATATCCTTCTGTAGACACAGCAAACCTTAGCCGTGCTCTCAGACTTCAAAACTGCTTACCAGTTTTTTGTTTGTGGGCTTGTTGGATAATTCTACTGGCTAAACATTTTCTTATTGTGTTCTGAACAGCACACGAGCAATGAATGTGTCATCTCAGGACCAGGAGCCACCACAAGCATCGGCCCTACCCTTCCCACACCGGTGACAAACAAATGTGAGCCCTTTCCTCTGCTGCTGCCAGTGTTTGCCTCTATCAATGGAACAGATTCAGCCCATCTTCCACAGAACCAATCCTGGGAACACTGGTGAAGCTGTGCTGAGGATGCAGCTTCTGATGCAGAACCCTCAGATATGAGCACAAAGAATTAATTCTGCAGTCTTGCAGCAAACTTAGCTGTAAGTTCTGCATTTCTCTCAGATAAGTGTATTCATTTGGTCCCACTGTAAAAGCAGCTTAGGAAAACTGACAAATCAGCACGGTGCCTTCTTAAAAATACAAGAAAGCAAAAAGCACAAGCAGAAAACGTGATTCCTTTTCCTTTTTATTGATACTGCCAATGTGACTACCTTTACGCAGGCAGATTGCTTTCCTACATTAACACTTTTTGTATTAATTTGGAAGTAACATTTTTCCCTCTATGCCTCCTAAGGTTATCCAATTAACACACAATGATACTTTTAAGAATCAGTTCCCACGTTGTCTCTTTAACAACCACTTTTTTCAGATCTGGGTAAAGGTTACTTGGCAAGAATACATGCATAGGACATTAAATGGAGACCAATCCACCACTAAAAGGTAATGCACATAGAACATAATACAGTACTTCGACATCATTTCAAATAAATACCCACATACAAATGTAGTAATTTTAAATGCAACAATATTTCTTATGAATCAATACTGTAACAGAAGATGGAAATATAAGTCCCCACATCTAGGAATAATAATGTTGTTCTTTTTTTTATTTTTTCCAGCAAACAGAAATCTTTTCACTACTGTCAATATTATTTCAATTTGTACTTTTTTTTGAGGAGGGGGAATTCCCCCCCAACAAGTACCAATTTAATCGTTCACATCAGCCTCAACAAACAGCACCCGAGAGGCAGGTACAGCTTGGTGATGCACTCCTCTGTTTCTGTTTCCTGGAATCACAATGATTAGATATAACATGCAAGAGAAGTTATTCGTGTTCCGTTGTCCACATTTGCAAACAATACTATGGTTAACTGCATCCACCACCATACGAAGCTAACATAACACCAATACTCCCGAGACGTCCTCCGTACTGTTACACAAATGTGTTTCTACATCTTGCTTTGTTTGCTAGGAGTCCATTTGGTTCCCAAAGCGTATTCGGGTTTGTTTCGGTTTTGTTTTTTTCTCTTCCCTCTATTCCCCTGAATTTGTAAGGATTTGCACGATGAAATATCATTGACTAACAGAATTTTTTACAATTCCTTGAATATACCATCTCTAGCACAGTAAGACTACCCATTAAAAATGTGCGAAAGGGGAGTTCACTTTGCACTTATTGCTCCACGCCGTCACTAAATTCCAAACAGCCATTCCATTTCTTCTTGTACAGACGAAGCTATTCTAAGGTTCTCCCTTCAAATGATTAAAGGCACTACTGGCAATAATTAATGACAGAAGGCGCTGATAGATAACACCCTATCATTGACAACTTTAGAATTTTTCTTTCTAAATGTACCATAATTTGGCACAATAAAAATGAAAAAGTAACAAAACAATTCCAATTTGGAATTTAACTGGTACAGTTGTATAAAATTCTGTTAATCAATAATACTTCAACTTCCTAAAACCCAGGAATTCTGGAATTTATAGGTAATACTACTTATTTTATATTTTTCAAGTGCCTATTACTGTTTTAACCAGAGCAAAGTCAAGTTTTCTTCTTGTTACATTGAACTATTCCTAAGAATAATAATACAATATGAAAAAAACCCCAGAATTTGAATACCCTGGATTTCTTAATGAATATGGCAGTTAAAAAAAAAAATCAGTAATTTAAACATATAAAGCTTAACATTTCATAATAATAAAAAGCTGCTGAAGCACAGCACACATATAGTTTAGCAGAGCTCCTGTTTTGTGTTGAAACTCTTTTCTAAACACATCTAGAGCCAAAAAAAAAAAAAAAAATCTCTGCCACATGCTGATGTAGAAATCAACCATCAGAAGTCGAAGTTGGAGAGGAACTATGAGCACAAACCACTGCATTTATATAAACTCTTCTACGTAAGGAATTAAAGAAGCTAAAGAAAAATATCAAAATATCAAAAGTGCACAGGTTTAATGATCAGATGAACAATGAGTGTCTGCAATGAAATAAGAAATTCCCCCATCCAAACATTTCTAGTAGATCATAAACTAATGTGGTGATCGTTACATTTGAAGTAGGTTTCTTCAGCACTTGTAAGTTTTCTTACTGCAGCAGCACTTATAGGTAAAGCTCGTTTGCTTTATAGCTTGAGACATAAAAGGAAAGTTTCAGGTAGTACACAGGGAAAGATGTTTTCAAAAGTTAGGATCGGGGCAGTGGTTTGCATTCTTTGTGCAATGGGCTACCACTTATAACCATAATGAAAGAGGCTAAGAAATGCTGTTGCACTGTTGGAAAGGCCTTCTCCATGGACTATTCTACAGCTGAAAAATGGAAAAAAAATAAAATAGCATTAGAAAAAAAACAGTGTTTATTTCTCACAGAACTGACAACTTAATACAACGTGCTGCAAAAGCTCCAGAGCAGGTTAGTTGTTGAGGGAGTCTGTTAGCTTGCTGGGGTTGAAGCAGCGAATTCAGCTCAAAGATGCTTTCCAAGCTGATGAAACAGTGCTTTATGAGTTCAGCCTGGAAGCAATAGCTTTGCAGAAAGAAAGTTTCTTACAAGTACTGAATAAAGCTTTGCTGTTCAAGCACAAGTTAACAGCAATAAATGTGCAAGAAACACTTTCCAGAAACATGCAGGTCAGTGTGTCATGCAGGCCAATGCAGAGAGCATCATTCAGAAGAGCCTGCTTGCAGAGGTAGGTGACGGCTTAAGAAATTTTTCATGCTTTAGCCCAACCCATTGGATGTGATATGAAAGACTTACAGCAAACATACATTTTAAGAAATGGTTAATCAAGCCTCAATCTTAAACATAATCATTATCTAAAAATACAAACAGCAGGATCAAGTCACCTTTACCACCATGGCTCGTTTCTTTTCTTTTTTTAAATTATAATAGATGCTAGAAGAAGTTTAACCATGACTTTAACAAGCTCAAATAGCAGTGAGGTTTGTCTTTTAATTTATAGATCCACAGAAATGAAAGAAGGTAGAAATGATTACTAGGATTATTGTGCTGATAGCAAAATTGTTCATGCTTGGAACTGAAGAGCGTGAGCTCAGACCAGTAGTAATAGTCACCATAACATTAAAATCTTTATAGAAAGTTGCAGCTAATTTGAAAAAAAAACCCTAACAATTAATTCAATTAGTTTCTCAAATGTACTTTTTTGCCATCAGTATTTTGTGAAAATACTGCAATCAGAGACATGGACGCAGTGAGAAATGTATTACAGCTCCCTACCATAGTGGAAGCAAACTTCTGTTTCTACTGAAGCAGAGAAGGTTAGCACGCCAATGCCTCCTTTACCAAGTATTTTTAAATTACACTTAATGCAGGAATGAGAAGAATAAAGGCCTTTTGGAAGATTGTGCAGCAAAGAGGAGAAAAGCAGGATTGAAAATTGTTAAAAGATGCCTTGCTTCTAAAATATCAAACCTGCTACTTAGCACTATTAAAGCTCAAATTCAGGAGAACTCAGTGTTTTCTAAAAAAAAGTAATATCAGATGCACAAGGCCTATTTTCTAAGGCCAGAATTGCTATTTGTGCCAATTTGGCAAGCAGTGCTGTTTGAGCAACATATCAGAATTAACAAACCTGGGTTTTTCCCCTGCTCTCAATACTGGGAAATGCAATTCTGGCATTTGGCTGTGGCATCCTCGTGTTCTCGGCTTCATAGCAAGTTTTCCACAATTCCATTGGTTTGAAGTCTCATTATATGGGACTTCATTTTTTACTTTTTTCCTTCTAATATCTGGGAAGCCAAACTCCCAAGCGGTTTCCCTTTGCTGGGAAAACAAGCTGTGCTCCTTATTACCTGTGATATCTCCTGACTACTTATAGGCAGAGCGGCAATGCAGAGGAAGCAAGCTGCTGATCATCTATAAGAAATGGCAGTGAGATGAGGCGGTACCACAGCGGGAATATCAGAATGGCTTTATAAAACAGGACTACCAAGCAGGCAGCTGTGCAGTCTCGCCTTGCTTTTAAGTACTACTACAGGCATACAAAGTTATTTGTAAGAGTACAAAATGAACAGGGCTTCACATTAAAATAAAGTCTGAGGCTAGGCACTTGAAAACTGGTTTGAAGGGGAAAAAAAGCGTGCCTTACTGTGCTCCACAGATTTTCCACAATTTTAGAAACAACTTTTTCAATCTTGATCTTCCATATAGGCACCAATTATGAAGTACACTTTTGTATTTTCAACCATTTTTAAATTAAGTGGCTAAAAAGGCCTCTTAGAAGTTCAACAGCAGACAAAGGTTTGTTTGTTTTTAAAGATTAATATGTATACTAAGCTACTTCATAAATATTTATTAGTGGGTGATCTGCTTCAATTTCCTGTGCCTATAATGTAGAGCCCTGTGGAACATGTTCTTGCATAAGGAATGCAACATCGTTTGTGTATTTAAAAAATGATCAGAGCTCTGAAGCATCATCCTGTTTGGATTAATACTGAAAGCTGAGAAAAACAATACTAGACCATAGTCACATTAATTCTACACAGATACGTCGTGTGGCTACAATAATATATCAAACAGATTCCTTCCCAAGCGTTGTGCTGCAAGGAGCATCAGGACACCACAGAGATCCTTCCACGACACGGGACTTTTCCAGAGCATAACTTCAAGTGGAACTGCCTACTGGGTAGGATCCCAATTCTCAAACTTTTAGCTTTTATACCAGATGGGGGTAAATATTGCATATTTTTAATATAAATGTGCAAGTTTCTTCTGATTAATCCTCTAAAGTGAGGGAAGCAGAGTGTAAATAATGTATCCTACCATGTTTTTCCTAGCTTTTATGGCCTATAAAAGCTTTAGGACATTGGTAAGTGGTGATATAACTGCAAGTCCTTATTATCTGCCACAACAGGCAGATTTAATTTTGGTTCCAGTTTCAAAATGCTCTCTATTTTCAAGACATAACTCTAATTTGAACACTTGCTTTTCACCACTTCTAGACACAGCAGCAAGGGAGGTTTTCTGTTCGTTTATGCCTGTGAAACCATTTATTAAAGTATGCTGCAACCCTGGAGAAAGGATCACATTTGTGCTATACAAACTACAATTAGTAACACCAGATAGAATATATCAGGTGTACTCTTAACACTTACCATAACCAGCAAAACCCACACACCTTAACTGTGGAAAAAGCTACTTCCTTTCCACCATTACCTTGTTAATACCATCCCCGTACTTACGAATTAGTTACAGTTAAGACCACCATAATACAACTTGTATTACCTGGTTTAACAACTTACTAGTACAAGTCAACTCACCGCGACGTTAGATAGTGGGGATTTACGCTGACAATTACAGCATAAAATAAGATGCATAATATGCTTTTTCTACACACCTCTCCTAGTCACAATAGATTTTATATTTTTCGCTACAAAACACCTGGTTGTTAAGGACAGATCCTTCAGGCCTGTCTCCACAAGAGCGAATATGACTTACAGTAGGGTTACTGCTCTTGGCTTTGGAAGCAGATTTTGTGCGCACCCTTTTGGACTGCTCATGGTCCAGCTCCAAGTGCTCCAGGCGCTGGGTCAGTGCCAGTTTCTGCTGGATTGCCATCCGAAGCAAGGAGTTCAGAGTCTTCTTCTCATCTTCAGCTGCTGCGAGCTGCCGCTGCATTTCATCCAGCTGTGTGACATACTCGTCACATCTGCAATGAAATACATCAATCTTTAGCAATCCCGTTTTCATCCGTAAAACATGAATCCCTCGTGCCTGGCAGATATCAGCACAGTCTTATAATCTTGTGGTCGCTTGCATACAGCTTTAAATAAGAAATTCAGTCAACTTGTGGAAATCACAACTGCTTTCAGTGGGGTTCTTACAGTCCCACACTCAGCACTTACATTCATGCCTTTCAATGCAGCACAACAAAGGCTGTCCCTGGATAACTGAAGTATGGAGCCTGGTGTGAAAGAACTCCTGTATAAGATGAGCAGGATGTCCTACAGCCCATCTGCCCGACACAGTGCACACACATAATGCCAGCAATTTACTTTTGTCTCCACTTGCACAGAGACCACATCCATTTTAACTTCCAGGCAGCAAAGGCAGTCAGAGGGGAGCATTAGGAGTGCTGTAACATGGCCATTACCAGAGCACCTATTAATGCTGTTCAAAGAGCCCCTGTGCTTCACAGGCTGTTAAGTAACCCAGGGAGTACACGAACCGATTCCCAATGGGGACTGAACAGCACTGTTATGAAGATGCATCTTTAATAATTTTAGTTTAATCTACTCTATCTCCTGATGTAAAAAAAACTATAATTAGTATTTTATTACTGCTTTTTCTACAGCAATTTGCTTTTATATGATAGTTTTCGCCACCAAAATTAATTTTGACCCAATTAAACAACAGAACTGGGTATTACTAAGAGCCCCTCAGGGGAGGCCATACGGATGCCTGCTTGGAAACTACTTAGCTAGCACGGTGCACACAAACAATTTAGAAGTGTCTATCTTTACATGTATGTAAATGCACTTTTACTGCACTCAAAAGAATTACAAATATGGGTAGAAAGAGAATAATCATAGGTACCAGCTGGAATTTACAATGGCCACATCTGTAAAAAACAACTACTTCATAAAAGCAATAATATCTGCAAAGAAGTTCCTTTTAATGCCAAATTGGAAAAGCCCCCGAGGTTACGGGACATTTACCATCATTAAACAACATAAAGAGGACTGGAAAAAAAACAACACCCACACTGAATAAAACCACATTCACATGCAGATTTGTCAGCTGTGCTTATACAATGAAGTCCCCCATTCTGTTGTCCCTGACTTCAAGCAGCAGGATTAGGCCTTATCCTTAACCAATTTCTTCTTGGGAAGAGAACAAGGGAAAGGAAAAAAACTGAATTTTGTTTTGGAACACATATGGAGATTATGCAGTAACCCAGAAACGTGTATGTAAAACCTGCAGACTGCAACGTAGCTTAGCCTAGCAGAAGGATGTGAGTTTAGGGCTGCTGTGTGCAGGAGCTTCCACACAAATCTCTGCATGCTGCTGAACCACAGTGGAAACCCTATGTGAGTTAATGGTGACCACAGCAAAAACAAAACAACAAAGCAATAACAAAAAAAAACAGGATCCCTAAAAGTGCTACAATCCTATTGGTTGTCATTTCCTCTTCAGATTTAGAGGGACATCACAAGGCAAAACAAGTTCATGCACCTCTGTGAGTACAAGCAGAGATGAAGACATGTAGGAATAGCCCTGGGAAGACAGAAAAGGAAAAATAAGTCTTGCAGCCACACCAGCCCTCCCTGCTCTCTTATGCAAGGTGGCACTTGGCACCAGCTTCAAATGAGGCTGGGGCTGCAGGAAGGCATGGCTCATAACATCACTGCTCACCCTGTGTCCTACTGCTCTAATTTGTTAGAAATGCATTTCCATCATCTGTGGGTTGGAACGAGGTGCAGACTAAAGACAGAAGGCTGAGGGCTGTTGGGTTTCCCTCCAGTTTTTACACACTTGTGACACTCACTGTGAAAAGCACTGAGCCTGGTCACTTGTGCCAAACCTGACAGCATGGACGGGCATCTGTCAGGCTAGAAGCCATAAAGTAGTTGGTGAGTGAGCTGAGCTATAATTAAAGCCACGAATTTGACTCCAGAAAGTTACTGTAGCAAGTCAGTACCTCAACACACTTTATGTAGTGCAAAGGTTCAAAATATCCAGTGATTGCCTTGAAAAATGAGGCATGCAGTATGTCAAATGCCTCCATCATCTTTTTCCATACTACTCTATGAAGGCAGCTTTTCCTTCCTGAGCAGCAAAAGGGAGTGTTATCAATAGCATACAAACAGCTGCAATCTTTACTATACTTGAATAACTGTTCTTTTGTGTGCAGGAGGACATGGGAGAGGCAGGAAGTCTAACCACTATGGCTGCACACCTTTGTGCATCCTGAATGTTTTCCTCATCTTTAAGTGAGATGAAACCATACAGCCTCAAAAGCAAACCATATTCTGGTGCAAGCGTGGTTGCCCTCAGCCAGGGGAACAATACATAATGCAAAACACTGCAACAATTCCTTTGAATCAAACAGGTGAGGACTGAAAAGTGGATGGGAATACTGACACAGTGTGCGCAGTGGATCGGGATGTGCTGTACTTCTGCTGCTCGCCCACTTCCCACTTCATTTCCTCACACAAGAAGTTAGCTTCCCTAGGCACTGCAGCACAACACAGCCTTCAGAGCTGCTTTGCTCAGTGCAGAGCTACCAGTGGTAGCAGAAGCTTCGACAGCGTGCCTCTGTGATACGTGTAGCTGTATTTCTGCTGCTTTGCAGGTATAACAATAAAATATCCTTCCTTTTCACAATCTCATTTGCCATGTGCTCGGCTACTTCCCAACTGTAGACTCAATGCAAAATCATTAGAAGATCAGAACACAAAGTACCTTTGTTTTAAAAACACTTTTGAAAATATAATTGAGCTCTCACGCTTTAAAGAAACTGAAATGAGCACAAGGCTGTTGTGCTGCGTTGTGAACGCATTCACATTTTTAAGTGGATACTGAACAGAATCCTTTGATGTTGCCTATTTTCTCAGGATTGATAATTAGAACAACAGAACAAAGAGCTTAAGGAAACACCTACTTGATTCTAAAGACCACCACCACCAAAAACAAATATCTACACAGAGGAAATAAGAGTTTCAAACATTAAATATTGTGATGGGAAAAAGCAAAATCCTCTAAAACTATTCAATGTCAAATTTTTGACAAATATAACGAGTTGGTTCATTTCCAAAAGCTGCAAATCACTACCTCTGACAACTGCCATAATATTTCTACATATTATTTTCTTTAAACTTCAGCATGTACCATACTTGGTACCATTTGCAGCTGAACTCACTACGGACTCAAGATCTTTCTGCAAATAAGTGATGTAACCAAAAGCACCTGGATATAATTAAACTTCTCCCCCCTCCTCTGCAGTCAGCATGAGGCCCATAACACTATTTCCAAGAAAGTAAGACTGAGGTGTGACTGAAGGAGGCTTCCAGAGCATCGACTGCTCTCACTTCTACATGGAGAGATTAAGCTGTCAGCCTACATAAGAAATTAAGGCACAGAAGATTTAAACTCCCTATGTGTTAGTAGAGCAGCAGTTAAAATGACATGTAAATGAATAGTGAGTTCAGCTGTAAGGGATATTAGCCACCTGCTTCCAAACTGATTCTTTGTGTAAGAAATTAATATTAAAGACAGAACTTTAACACCTTCTTTCCTTCACCTTCCCCCTCCAAAGGCGACCTTCTGCTCTGTGCTGGTGGCAGATGCAGATGAGTTCCATGGATACTGCAAGGACCAGGACTGAGGACAAGGCTTACAGTTTATACCATTTAGATTGTTAACTGCAAGGCCAAGGTTTAAATAAAGACTTGTCACGAGCTCACCACAAAAAGACAGAAAACTGAGGGTTGTCACTATATACAGACAACAGAAAACAGCCAAACCTGAGCATTATAGAATTATTAAGGTTAGAAAAGACTGCTAAGATCTTCCACCCCAACTTTCAACCCATCACACCACCATGGCCACCAAACCAAGCCTTCAGGAACTACCAATCATAACTAGTACCCCACCTAACCTACCCACGCTGGTCTCCCCCAGAGGAACTCACACTGCATAGGGATTTGCATATCCATTAAAAAAAAAAAAATTGTTTCTAAAAGGGTTTTCAAAGCAGAATTATTAAAAAAAAACACTACACGAGCGTGTTCCAGGCAAGCAAGCTTGTCGCACACACCAGTCCCAATTCAGCTACACAGAAAATTCACCCAGCTCCAACTGCAGGACCCTCTGCTCAGTCAGCATCTGACTGACTTTGGGAAGTACACAAAGCCCATCTCTTGCCTTCATGTGCACAGTTGTACACGTGGACTCAAAGAAAACATGAATCCTGAAGAAGGCAGAAGAAAGAATACCTCAGGGTTATATGTAAGCAGGTACAAATAGGTCTGGTGAAACTTCACTCATTGTAAATTCCTCACTGGCAATTCCTTCCTCAATGCCTTGCATTAGAAACTCATCTGAGTTGTGCATTGAAAAGAATAAATCTATAGCCTTTATATGTGTGTATCACTGACATCTGCACTGTAAACAGAGTATAATTTATAACCAGCTATAGTTTTCTAAAATGTTTACAATCAGCCATGTATAATCAATGTCCGTTAGTAAAAGCTATTAAAGGAAGTAATCAAACCATAAATCTCTTATAATTTGAATCACGTGGGAAGGATTGTGACCTGCACTCCTGCACAGAGGGGGAACAGTCAGCCTCACACAGCTGGGTACTGCTCTGAACTTCCACTGATAAAAACTCCCAAGGACAGATCATAAACTTTTACGGCAAATTCCCTCTTCTAGAATTCAAAATAATTTTTTTTTTCCTTTTTGTTTTTTTTTAGACCTATTTTAGAAGATGAAATGACCTTATGCCACTAGATTAGAAGCAATTTCTAAGCTATCACCCAGGCAGAACATTTTTCCCAGGTCCTCACTGAAGGGGGGTAGCAAAAGATGAAGACCTAATCCTGAACTCTCAGTTCCTATCAACACTATACAAAAAGCTAAACTACATGGCTACTAGAAGACTACAGATACAAATAGCTGCTGCCGTGGTATTCCCATATAAGG